CTCATCCCTCCCCTCTCATCCCTCCCCTCTCATCCCTCCCCTCTCATCCCCTCCGCTCTCATCCCTCCGCCTCTCATCCCTCCGCTCTCATCCCCTCCGCCTCTCATCCCTCCCCTCTCATCCCTCCCCTCTCATCCCTCCGCTCTCATCCCTCCGCTCTCATCCCTCCGCTCTCATCCCTCCGCTCTCATCCCTCCGCTCTCATCCCTCCGCTCTCATCCCTCCGCTCTCATCCCTCCGCTCTCATCCCTCCGCTCTCATCCCTCCGCTCTCATCCCTCCGCTCTCATCCCTCCGCTCTCATCCCTCCGCTCTCATCCCTCCGCTCTCATCCCTCCGCTCTCATCCCTCCGCTCTCATCCCTCCGCTCTCATCCCTCCGCTCTCATCCCTCCGCTCTCATCCCTCCGCTCTCATCCCTCCGCTCTCATCCCTCCGCTCTCATCCCTCCGCTCTCATCCCTCCGCTCTCATCCCTCCGCTCTCATCCCTCCGCTCTCATCCCTCCGCTCTCATCCCTCCGCTCTCATCCCTCCGCTCTCATCCCTCCGCTCTCATCCCTCCGCTCTCATCCCTCCGCTCTCATCCCTCCGCTCTCATCCCTCCGCTCTCATCCCTCCGCTCTCATCCCTCCGCTCTCATCCCTCCGCTCTCATCCCTCCGCTCTCATCCCTCCGCTCTCATCCCTCCGCTCTCATCCCTCCGCTCTCATCCCTCCGCTCTCATCCCTCCGCTCTCATCCCTCCGCTCTCATCCCTCCGCTCTCATCCCTCCGCTCTCATCCCTCCGCTCCTCATCCCTCCGCTCTCATCCCTCCGCTCTCATCCCTCCGCTCTCATCCCTCCGCTCTCATCCCTCCGCTCTCAATCCCTCCGCTCTCATCCCTCCGCTCTCATCCCTCCGCTCTATCCCTCCGCTCTCATCCTCGTCTCATCCCTCCGCTCTCATCCCTCCGCTCTCATCCCTCCGCTCTCATCCCTCCGCTCTCATCCCTCCGCTACTCATCCCTCCGCTCTCATCCCTCCGCTCTCATCCCTCCGCTCTCATCCCTCCGCTCTCATCCCTCCGCTCTCATCCCTCCGCTCTCATCCCTCCGCTCTCATCCCTCCGCTCTCATCCCTCCGCTTCTCATCCCTCCGCTCTCATCCCTCCGCTCTCATCCCTCCGCTCTCATCCCTCCGCTCTCATCCCTCCCCTCTCATCCCTCCGCCTCTCATCCCTCCGCTCTCATCCCTCCGCTCTCATCCCTCCGCTCTCATCCCTCCGCTCTCATCCCTCCGCTCTCATCCCTCCGCTCTCATCCCTCCGCTCTCATCCCTCCGCTCTCATCCCTCCGCTCTCATCCCTCCGCTCTCATCCCTCCGCTCTCATCCCTCCGCTCTCATCCCTCCGCTCTCATCCCTCCGCTCTCATCCCTCCGCTCTCATCCCTCCGCTCTCATCCCTCCGCTCTCATCCCTCCGCTCTCATCCCTCCGCTCTCATCCCTCCCGCTCTCATCCCCTCCCCTCTCATCCCTCCCCTCTCATCCCTCCCCTCTCATCCCTCCCCTCTCATCCCTCCCCTCTCATCCCTCCCCTCTCATCCCTCCCCTCTCATCCCCTCCCCCTCTCACCCCTCCCCTCTCACCCCTCCCCTCTCACCCCTCCCCTCTCACCGACCTACCGTTCTTCTCTCTTCCCCATTCCAATTTCTTCTTCCGTCCATCGTATCCCTCCCCGTGGTGCGCCGCGGGTCAATAGTTGCGAGTCGAATAACTAATTCTGCCTTGTGGGACCAAGTTCCCACGACCACAGCATGGACCCACATCAATAAGACGCGAGGCAGTGTGGCCAAAGCGATGTCGCAGATGTGAATGCGAACTCACGTCGCCAATGCTATAACGCGTCCAGCATTACGCATGGACGCAGGCGACGCAGTCTTACGTAATAAACCTGCATTACAATTACAACTCGCAGATGGGAAGCCAACACGTTTTTTTTTTCAGATCAGAATAATAATAAAAAGATATTAAAGACGCATTCAGATGAGGTTTATAGGAGAGGGAGTTTCAGACATATCTCCTGTTACAAATAACCGTGCTATAATGCACTCAGGAGAACTGTAATTTTCCCCCCCCCAATATTAAAGTGCAACGCGCGAGCACTCTCCTCCCGATATTTGGCGACGTTTGACGCCTGTCTGAATGAACCTCCCGTCATCCCTGCTGTGTCCCTCGTGAGCACGGGCGGTGTCACGAGACAATCCCGACGAGACGCCAGCAACAAGCGCCCACTTCCACGACACAGTCCGCGCCTTCTGAGCAAAGCAATGGCACGTACGGACGGCCGGCGGCGGCGGCGGCGAGGGACAGCGTGCCCCGTCCACCGATCGATGAACGACGCGCGGCGCTGCGTGCCAGATTCTAGAGCTCGCGCGCGGGCACGGAACGGCGACATCACGCCTGCCAGCGCATGGGACACTCGATAAAACACAACGGAGGCTAAATAACGACGACTGAAACATGCGTAAAAGACGGTGAGCTCGGGCGCAGCTCTCATTATCTGAATGACCGACATTACCCCTCCTCGTGTGTATTCAATCGACATAAAAGGTATTTTTTTTTTTTAAAAAAAGGTTCAGCCCTGAAATGAATTTGCTCACCGCCACTGTCAAAAGAGGTTGTCTCCCAGCAGGCAGAGCTGAACAGTGCTCCGTCTCGTAGCTCCACAGACAAAGTCCTCCTTCAGTCAGGCATAAGCACGACAACTCTTCTAGGCTGGCACGAGGCGCTTAGAAGTGGTGGGAGTAGCCACATATCACCCACCACCGCACGCGCGACCGGTCGATCGTCTGTGGTTGTTACCCATTTATGCGGCCAGGTGGGCGGAGGTTGGTGGGTTGGGTTAAGAAACTTGTCCACATTCATTCCGCCGCCACGCCGGGATTCGATTGGATTGCAAGTCCGGTGTGCTAACCATTCCACCACAGCAGCGTAGGGTTGTCAACTTCTCCACAGGCCAAACATTTATATATATATAAACAAAAATCAGACAGCCTAGGTCTGAAAAATAAGAATAGATTTTACCCTTTCTGGCAATGAAACAGGTGTTCTAGCCGAGGTCTATCACACCTGCGCAATTTAATGTCCGAACGTTCAGCACAATACCACCCGATCTTCGTTCGGTATCAATTCCTGTCACCCGTACACGGATTCCAAATCCCAGAATGTCTGATGTAAACCCACACACAGGTGGCAACGCAATCGCAGCATCCCAATCATCATGCATAGCGCATATACATTTAAAGCTACCCATTCATCTAGCCTCCTCACGTGATTAGCTCAAATGTACGTCGTGCGTGTACGTTGAATGCCTTTCGCACCGCGTACGTAGCCAACCGTGCTGCTAATCGATGTCGACAAAACTAAAGACACAAATATATTTACATGGCAGCCCCCTTTTGACCTTGTTTTAGCCACGCACATCACAGCCAGCCACGTGTCTCATTGGCAGTCGAGGAGCTGCTAAATGGCAGCTGTCACAGAGGCCCTGAGTGTGCAATTGCAGAACGGCTCCTCAGGGTGATGTGTGAAGCCATCGAGGTATTGTTTCACACATCAGACACGAAGAGACTAAACAAGTCATGTGCCCGTGGTGGACAGAGCCTCATCGAGCACTGTCCTGTATGTCACGGGACTTGTGAGGCATTCATCCTCTGCAGGGTTCATTTTGTTGGATTGGAGGGTTATCTACAATCATCGGCATTGAATGTGAAACGTACGGAGGATTACACTGGACATCTGTGAAAAAAGAGCTTTGTAGCTCATCGGATTCATCCAAAATAAATAAATGTCCTGATTCAGGAAAACACATTCCCAATCAATGATCCACCCCACCGATTGTGGTCTATCTGCTCGTGGTACTTGGACAAGGGTATAGGCATCGCATTATAAATATGAACTCTTGATGTGTACTGTAAATATAACTAAGCAGCTAATCTGCCATTATGTACAATGTACCTTTGTACAAACGACTCTTCCTCGAGCGAGATGTCATTTGAAAGCTAATAATGTGTAGTTTATCAGAACAGGCTCCACATTAAATATATATACACATTTGACCCAATAATTCAGCTTAATTTGACGCGTCAGCCCTGGCAGCAGCAATACAAATACCGCTGTGGAATGACTTCTATACCAAGAGTAATTGTTCTTTTATCCACGAATAGCCAATTGAACTCAGAGCGGCAGAGGAGCATTGCACATTAATGGCGAGACTATGATGAGAAAGAGTGCAATAACGGTTTCCTGCGATGCGAAATAAGCCACGGCAGATTACTTTTCCCGTGCGCTCCGTGGCAGCCTCGGCTTGTAGTGCCGGGAGCCCCGAGCCTTCAGGGTTATTACCGCACGAGACGCCTCGACACTCCATCTACACTCTGCTGCTCCACATGCCGCAATCACCGTCAGCCGCGTTTGTGTCCAGCGCCTCCTACGACAGGCTTGATCCCCACACCCGCAGCGATTGCCTGATGCCCTCCGTGGACTTTGAACCTTGACGCTCTTACGCAGTTGCCCCGTGTCCGCCTCGACGTTTCACCCCACCAGGGCCGGGTATCGCACCTGTAAGGGCCCTGCCTGTAAGGGCCCTGTAGAACTCTTTGTCAGTCCCCCGCCAGGCCAGGGCCTCTCCCCGCCACCCCCCGCGGGGGTCGTGACCTCACAGTGCTTTGCGACGCCGGTCGGTGAGGATTGGTAACAGGCGGGGAGCATAGATGCAGTGCAGTACAATGGATTCCGCTGCGTTGACCTCCGCTCCCAACCACATAAGCCCCACAGCAGCCGACAACGGCCTGCCGTGCATGGTGCTTACCAATGCACGCGCTGTCCAGGGCCAATCATCAATGGCGACGTCGCTCTTCCTTCCGATAATAGGAAGCAACTGGAGCTAGATTGAAAACTCGCTTCTTTAGAAGTTTATTGTTTTGCGTTTAGGTTTGTTGTCCTTCCTCCGCACCTCCGATTAGCACGGTTGGCTACGCACGGCGCGAAAGAAGTTCAACATTAAATTTTGATTTAAAGCTTTCGTGACTGCAGTGATTCATATTCTTGGTTCTTTCGGTAACGTCACGTTGAAGGGAAGCAATAAAATAATAAAAAATATATAAAACAATAAAATTCTCACGACGTTTCGACTGCAACACAAGCAGTCATCATCAGGTGTGAAAACCAACGGCAAGAACATTTGAAAGAAGTGGCGGTTTCACACCTGATGATGACTGCTTGTGTTGCAGTCGAAACGTCGTGAGAATTGTATTGTTTTATATATATTTTATTATTTTATTGTTTCCCTTCAACGTGACTTTACCGAAAGAACCAAGAATATAAGTTTAACATTATATATACGTCCGCACATTTGGCGAGATCGGAGGAGTTCCGACTGATCTGGTGACAGGCACCACGATGTGAACCATAAGCATCAATTGTTTGCTCGATGTGCTATTTCAGTGACGAAAGCGGGTACCTTATCTGTGTATTACGTCATTATTAATGTGTACAATGCAACCCGAGCAAACGGGGAAGGAGAACTAACAATATCCAGTAAGCGAATTCCTCTTTTATGTTATCGAAAAGTTCCTCTTTTGGAAATAAAAAAATCGTGGCTTGCTCAAACAAGGCCACGCAAACTCTTGCTTGCTTCGACAAATACTGCTGGAAAACACGAGTCGATTAGGCCCTTAGGCCAGTGGACTAACATCATATTTAGTTTTAAAGTGCAGATGGCCTTTTTCTATTTATTCGCTCACAAACAAATCCCTGTGGGCAACGTCTTTCCAGAGCCTTCCAGCCTTGTCCAGCAAATAAAAAAAAATAACATAAATCATTGACAAAAAAACCCCCCATATATAATTCCAGGCTTGCTTGGACAGTAGCAAATAACTATAAAGAATAAAATAACATCCATAATAAAATAATAATACAAAGAATGCATTTAGCACAGGTAAATGGTGGAGCCCCTGCCTTGTCTTTCTCATGCCATTGGGAGATCGACAGAGCCCATTGCTATGGGTGCGTGGACTGCTCTTCCGTGCTGGGCAAACGTTTTGTAAGAGGTGTGAGTATCCACACTTTGCCCCACCACATTACCCACCACGATGTACACGCACATATCCATACGGCTGGGTGGACAGAGAGAGAGAGAGTCGGGGTGGGGGATTTAAGCTACTTGCACCGTGGTTTTAACTGCTGAGCCACCACCGCTGGGAGATGGTGATGATTCTGATGACGATGAATTAAGCACAAGTTGTTGAAGTATTCATTCGTGAAGGGGGGGGAAAGAAAACATTCGGACAAAATAAAAGTGATGTAAAATTACGGAAACATTTCGGAAAAGACTTCTACAAACACTGGAAGACGACAAAGGGAACAGCGTGGATCTGTGTGGCCTGTGTCCCCGCGTTACTGTCCACAAGCCACGCGGGACATCCAACAGTTGAAGTGATTTTATCTTTAAAGAATGTAACTCTTGATGAAAGCACATTGTACTTATTGCCATTACAGTACGAATTCCATGAAGTGGCAATTCTGAACTACAGGTCATTTAGATGACTTTGCTGCTATACATGATGAGCCATTTGGTGAGCTATCATTGGGGGCCAGGTCGCTTCTGAAAAATAAGTTAATGCATCAGTGGGTTTTACCTGAAAAGATAAACAATAGTATCGTTTTATTTGTACATGTTTTTAAGTGATTTGTTTACCTTTACTAGACTTTGTACGCCTGTCGTGTTGCTGTGTATTGTCGTAACGCTCTTACCCGCCCCTACTGGACATGTGTAAAAGAGCTTTATAGCTCATCGGATTCCTCCAGTATAAACACGTATTCTAATTCTGATAAACAAATCCAACACAGTATTGTGGCCTTCAAAAGAAAAGTTAATAACAGGTGGAGTGTCAGGCAATGGCCCTTCGTCACAGTACAACGACTCCTCTACTTATGCACGAGCTAGGTTCCAGAGGTCTGTTCGGAAGTCGATTTGGTCGTAATTCAAACGTTACTCCTACACTAAACATGGGGAATGGCTTTAAAAGTTGTATACTCTCCCGTCGATGTAGATGCCACTGGTTCTTCATGTTCTGCAGATGCCACCACCGCCCCATCTATTGCACGGCAGTTGGACTTACGACTCTCGGTCTGAACAGCCAACTTGACATACGGGACAGGTTTGTTCGTATCTCTGAATGTTCGTAAGTCGAAAGTTCGTAAGTAGATGAGCCCCTGTACACAGAACGGCCCTACCTCTCTGGTCTATGCGCTTTTTATAATTAGGGCAGTGTTATTGATGAAGTGTTGAGTTTTTTTGTTGGATATCCAGACAAATATTATAAAGCAGCATTTGTTTTGGCAGGCAAACTCTCGACCGGTTTTCACTGTCTGGGTCTAATCAGCAGAGACAGGTTTGTGAAACGTATCCTGCTGGATTTTCAGATGTGTATGGCAAGAGCACTGCATATAAATATAACGAAACAACACAATATTGTTGACGTGAATAACTGCATTGTTCTCTGATCCCCTAAGAATCCCACTGCTACTTTGTGGGTGCCTCTAAGAGGCTCCTCTGCCTCTTTAGCTGTGCCCACAACCCTCAACCATATAACCCCTTTAGCCACACCTGCAGATGACTCATTCACCGCGTTGCTCTTCCCCAGGATCCAAGAACACGAGTTAAAAAGCCATTGGTGGAATTTACAAAAATGTAAAATGAAACTGTTTTTTTTTATTTTACCACGTAAGGCCCACAAAGCTATCTCTTTTTCAGAAATGACCTGGAAACAAATGATAGCTCAACCAAGTGGGTTATATTTTTCGATTTAAAGCTTTCGTGACTGCAGGGATTCATATTCTTGGTTCTTTCGGTAAAGTCACGTAGAAGGGAAATAATAAAATAAAATAAAAAAAATTCTCACGACGTTTCGGCCACAACGCAAGCAGCCGTCCTCAGGTGAAGAAACAGAGCTGTCGGAAAGAAAGCGTCGTAATGAACACTGCTAAGCTTGGCAGCGTATTTTAAGCCTTTCTGACAGCTCTGTTCTTCACCTGAGGACGGCTGCTTGCGTTGTGGCCGAAACGTCGTGAGAATTCTATTTTATTATGTTTTATTTTTATTATTTTATTCGTTTCCCTTCTACGTGAATTTACAGAAAGAACCAAGAATATGAAGTGGGTTATCACATGGAAATTTATAGCAGGGAAATACTGTAAATGCATGATTCTAAATGTGGAGGGGAAAACAGGAAGACCTTGAGAAATATCCATGCAACCACGGGAAGAGTGAACATTCAAACTCCAAATATACAGCAGCAGCAGGCATCAGGGTCGGGTTCGAACCCACGACCTTCTGTACACCAGGCGAGGTAGTTAACATCTCCTAGCCACCACGGCACCTACACATTCCCCCAGGTGGGACCACCAACCACTGTTGACTTCCCGCATGCTGGTGCCTATTTGATCAACCACAAAGTGATGATGGGTTCCGTGAAACCCAACCAGTATTTGAACCCGCAACTTCACCATGTTGACCCTCAAGCACTGTCAACCGGAGTGCCGCAGGCCAAATTTCTCAGTAAATAAGAAATGCAGTTAACAAACCATGGTGACGAAAACGATAGCTTTAATGCAAACATGTGCACGCAGAGCAGCAGGAATCAGCATGTTGTGCGAATCATCAATAGGCTCCGCTGCAGACGCGGGATGCCGTGTGCTCGCGGTTCCACCATCTGCCGTCAGGCCACGCATCGTCACCTTGAACGAGCATTAACACATTTTGCACGTGTGTGCAATTCTCCCATAAATACATCATAAAGTGAATAGTCACAATTCTAATTGTGACGTTCATTAACCTGGGTTCTCAGGTGTAGTGGCTTCAGAATGAGAATCAGAATTTGTATTTATCCTGGAGAAATCGCCTGAGTCATGAGGCTCTCTTTTTTTACTGACGCCCAGTAGGTTGATGGTCTCAGCCTAGTAGCAAACGACTGCACCAAAACAACCGTCGCCTTACATTTCGTTCGTCACTCAACTGGACTCTGACAATGACAAATATTGGTTTGAGTGTCGCCCGACGAACATCACTGCCACAGGGCAGAGCGAGTGGGGATGCGTTCTCCCCTACCGCGTGCACACCGGAGGTCATCTGAAGAGGCCTCAGGGACAGATCAGCGATATCCACTTCCGTGGGCCGTCCTCGAACAGGAAGGGTCACGCGCTGCCGCTCGGTGAGAGATCCGAGTGCCTCCTTCGCCTCGAGACAACGGCATCGATGGCGCGACGAGGAGAGCGAAATAGTGTTGACGTCCCGTCTAAACTCGCTTCCATTAACTGGTGCGGGGGGAAATAAAAAAACAAAAAAAAGCGTGGCGCAGCTGAAATTGATCGTGGAAAGCAGCACGGCAAAGTGGCGCTCGTATTTTGCTGGCACGCTCTACCGCCCGCCGCCTTATTTGGCTCCGTAAACTGAAGTACGCACCGCCGCAAGTTGTGCTCAATGAGTGCGAGCAAAGCAAAAACAGTTTCTGCAAGGGTGATCGGCGAATTAATAACGCGACTGAGGCAGGCGAACAGCAGGTGACCGCAATTGCCACACGCTGCGAGAATTGCGCACGATGGGCACGTGTGGGTGGAAGCTGTCTCTGCTGATACCATTTTGTGTAACCAGGCAAGGCCCACTGACCTGTGTAGCTGTTTTTTTTTAAAGCGACTTGCTCGCAAATGACAGCTCAACCAAGTGGCTTGTCACGTGGAAATTTACAGCAGTCAAATTACTCAGAGCATATGGATTTTGAGAAAAGGTTTTTCCCCTTTTTTTCTGGCAACAAAACAGCCGTGTTAAGATGTTAAAACACCAAACTGAAACCTTTGACAAGGAATCATGTGTGCATTCACCACAATACTTGTGGTCAGGATGCAAACAAAAATCATACTCTGATAGCATATGCATTAAATCAGTTTCAAAGACACTGCATATGCTATTCGAGTATGTATTTTG